CTGTCCCCCTTCCCTCTTCTCACCACACACACACACACACAGACACACAGACACACACACACACACACACACACACACACACACCACAGACACACAGACACACACACACAAAACACACACACACACACACACACACACACACACCTAATAAACTGTCTCTAGCCAATTAGTATTTCAAATGTAGATATAGTTTTTTGTTACAACGTTTAGTGAACAACTGGTATATTATTTGTTGTATTTGTTCTATAGGAAAAAGTTGTTTTTGTTTCCTTGTGTTTTTGCTTGTTTAATCGTTTGTCTTATTTACTAACTTCTTTTTGTTTATGTTTTTTAATTGTTTTTTTTTTTACTTGTATCGTCTATATTTACTTGTTTTTGTTTATTTTTCTTCTTTGTTTACATGTTTTTGTTGATTTATTGTATGTTTAGTTGTTGTCTTCCTTGTTTACTTGTTTTATGTTTTCTTCTTACTATTGAAGGTCTAATATATACAGTTTATATTAGTTGTGCCTCTTGGTACTGTGTGAATGTGTATCTCTCAGCGATATGTCATTGGTTCAGTCCTTGCAGACACGCATTAGAAAGGGTGTGTTATCAGTGTGATGCTGCCTGAGCCAAGCGTGACCTTAACCTAGCCTGACCCTAACCTAACCTGACCTAGCCTGACCTAACCTAAAACCCTAACATGACTTTTATACTATTCTCCTGTTACTATCTAGTTTGTTTCTTACTAACACAGGGACAATAAGGGTCATAATTGAATAATATTTGATAGACCAATCGCCCAGGAGAGAGAGCCAATACCTAACCCCAGTCTTTCTACTCCATTCCACTACCACCAGCCTGCACCATCACCACCACCACCTCTACCACGCCACAATAAAAGGTTTACCAATCACTAAGTCACTTGATCCTGGTTGGCTCTCTAGAAGGACCTGACAGGTGAGTAGGTCGTTAATTAGGTCAGTCCTGCAGGTGTGTGTAAGCGTGTGTATGTGTGTGTGTGTGTGCGCGCGTTTTGTAGTACTTACTATTTATACTATAATGATAATAATTGGAATAATAATAATAATAATAATAATAATAATAATAATAATAATAATAATAATAATAATAATGATGATGATGATGATGATGATAATAATAACTAATGATGCTCTCAGGTCATTCCCATTATCTTCACACAGAGGTCACCAGGCCAAGTAAATAACGAGAATATTAAAAAATAAATCACAAGTAAATTAAATTACATTCAATAACAACAAACAAACAAAATAAACACAGAGACTTGATAACCACATCACCACCCTAATTGACACACACACACACACACACACACACACACACAGGCAGAGAGAAGAGACAGACAGACAGACAGACAGACAGACAGGCAGGCAATCAGATGGCCATACCTCACATAGCAGATAACAAATTAATTATCGCCATATCCAAAATCGACACCACATCGGCAAATACCTTAACATACCAGCGAGCCTCGAACACCGAGCACACACACACACACACACACACACACACACACACACACACACACACACACATACTGTGGGTCATAACATCAAAACATTCCTCCTATCGATTTCCAATTTTTCCAACAACGAGAAGAAAAAAGCGAGGAAAAACAAAACTAAAAAAAATGTCTCCTTTGATAACAAGATTGCATGTTTCTTTTTAATTGTGATTATGTACGTGTGTGTGTGTGTGTGTGTATATACCGTGTCTTTTGATGTTACTGTAATATAAGAGAGACAACAGCAGTTTAGTTGAAAAGAATTATGGGTTTTTTTAGTCTTGTGTATCAACTTGTATGTGATTTTGGATGGTGTTTAGAGGCCGAGTAATCCGTGAACTTTGACCTTTACGTGTTGTTTCTGTGTCGTGATGAGAGAGTACATGAATCTGGTTGTGTGAGAGAGAGAGAGGTGTCATTCTGTGTTGAAGTTATGTTGAGTTCATGGTTGCCCAGGTCTCTCTCTCTCTCTCTCTCTCTCTCTCTCTCTCTCTCTCTCTCTTTGTCTGAGTGGGTTGAGAGGGAAACAAACCAAGTGAGAGGTGGTCAGGGAGGTCATCAGTCAAGTGGTCCTCGAGTCTCAAGTAGGACGGATCACTTCACTTCCCACGCTGACACGGACATTAACCTTTCCACTCTCTTCCTTTCCCACTCTCTTCCTTTCCCACTCTCTTCCTTTCCTACTCTCTTCCTTTCCCACTCTCTTCCTTTCCCACTCTCTCTTCATCCTCTTTCCTTCCTCTCGCTGATGAGTAGGTCAGGTTAGGCTAGGGTAGGTTAGGTCAGGTTAGGTCAGGTTAGGGTAGGTTAGGTTAGGTTAGGTTTTTGTTAAGAGTTTTAACGTGTCTTCCATTATTCTCTCTCTTCAGTCCTTCATTGCGGGTTCAATTCCGGGTTCGGTTTCGGATTCGGGTCAGGGTTCAGGTTGTTGTTGTTGTTGTTTATGTTAGTTCCAGAGTGTTAAGTTCGCCCGTTTGTCTGTCTGTCAGTGTGGGTTAGTGGGTTACTGTCCATGGGTTAAGTACCTACACTATTATCCCTTTTAACACCTTTCTCCGTCTCTCCTTTATTTACCTTTTTTTTTCCTGTTCCTCTCGTGGTTGAAGTGACGTCATTAGTCTCTGTCACCACTGTTGATGTGTTCGTAACTAAGGGACGAGATTCTCAAAGAGTTCGTAAGTTGAAATTCTCTCTCGTAAGTGAAAATTATAAGAATTGACCTAATTACCTGGTTGGGGGTTGAAACTACATTACAAATAGGATAACCAAAATGGCGTCAAATTTATACTTGAGACTCGACCTCAACGTCTACCTACACACACACACACACACACATATTCACCTATACGTGCTATAGTCCTAATGAGCCACAGGGCAGTGTTAGGTCTTACGGACACGAGGTGGCTTAGCACTTTCTTGCCCACGTCCCTCTCTAGCAGGTCATTATCAAGTACATTTAGCGGAGTCGTTTGATCACATATGGGGTGAGTTGTAACCAGTTCACACCTGTCCATTAAGGGGAGGGGGAGAAGGGAGAAGAAGGGAAAGGGAAGGCGGAAGGGGATGAGCGAGGGAAAGGAGAGAGAAGGGAAGATGGGTAAGGGAAGGGAGGGGGTGGGTTGGGGAAGGGGTATGGGTGGGGGAATTATTGTGGAGTGTGTGAATGTGTGAGGAGGGGGAGGAGGAAGGATGGGAGAGAGAGAGAGATTAGGTTAAGCTAACTCTACTACTCGCTTCGGCTTTAATCTGGGCTATCTATCTATCTATCTATCTATCTATCAGTTAATAAAAAAATCAAAACACCAGTGGAAATAATAAGCTTTTAACTAATTGTTTTTCATGAACTTTCCTCGGTTGAATATATACATTGTTTGCTTTTGTTTGTGTCTTTTGTTTACGTTGCTTATACACAAACAAAATCTTGTGTTTGTTTGGGGATTTTGGGTGAGTAAACATCAATCAGTTATTTTATCTTTTCTGCCGTTCCAAGCAGTGTCAATCAGTAGGGGTGGAAAAATAAGTGAGTTATCGCTTAATAAATTCTCATTTTCTACTGATTAGAAATTAATGATGTTAGAGAAAACTTTTATATTTGGGGAAAACTAAGTTAAATGTTTTCTCGTCATCTCGTCACAAGACTTCCATCATGGGGGCAGTGCTGCAGAGAGGAGGTTGCTGGGGGAGGGGGAGAAGGGTTAAGGAGTATAGCAGTTTGTGGTGAGGTAGAGGGGTAAGAGGAGGGAGGAAGTGGCAGTCATTGGGAGGAAGTTTACCTTGTCGCACCGTGTGTTTTAAGGTGTGACTATTGAAATTTGGGAAAGGAGAGAACGCGTTTTTGTTCGTTGTGTTTGAATGTATTTGTGGATGGTCTGTTGATTGTGGAAGCTGGAAGAATGGTTAGTCTCATATAATGTAGTTGTGGGGAAGGTGTGATGTGTGATGCGTCTAGTGCAGTGGTTTAATGTCACTGTTAAGCTGCTTGCTTGTTTGCTTCCTTGCTTGCAACTTCTTGCTCTCAGCTACCGCCGCTGGCATGCCCTTGTGGTGGAAAGGGAAGTCGAGTGCGTCAGTACACAGCCTCTCCACCATCAAGACTCCTGCTGTGCCTCCTGCCCTCAGGCTCGGCAACCTCCTGGTACTGGGCGTCTTGCGACGATTTGCTAGACCGGTCAGGGTATCTCGATACAGCAGTGGGCCCCAGAAGTACGGCGTGCAGGCCCACCGGCGTGTGGACAGTGGACACGCCCTGACGCCTACCCCCCCCCCCCCCCCCCCCCCTTTTTGTGGGTTAGCCCAAGAACGGATAAAGGCTTACGGAGTAAACCCCTGATACAACAGTGAGGGGATAACCGTAAGGCATACTTGGACAAATGAAGGCTTTCTGGCATAACTCTGCAATCCCAGGCGGGTGAAGGTCGTCTCCTGTCGCCGAAACATGTCCCTGGGGTAAAGTGGGTAGAGATGTGAACTGTGCACACTCCTTCCACCACTCATATACATTTCCACATGCAAGCCAATGCTTATTTACTTAAAATGTCGTCGTGTGCGCGTCCGTGTAGGTTCACATACCTACACAGTTCTCTTGTGTACGTCGTACGAGTGTGGCGCATTTATACTGGAGATTTGTATCAGTTATGACTACCTGGTCTTCCTAGAAGTCCAGTGAAGACCAGTTTTAGTACAGGAGAACTCGGCGAGAACCTGACATGGTCGACCAGAGCTGCAGCAGAACCAGCGATACACACGATTGTTTGATGGTCACTTGGACTCTCTCTCTCTCTCTCTCTCTCTCTCTCTCTCTCTCTCTCTCTCTCTCTCTCTCTCTCTCTCTCTCTCTCTCTCTCTCTCTCTCTCTCTCTCTCAAAGCACAGCAGTATTGATGGATGGGTTGATAAATTAAATAGAGTTTTGTGTTATTAGTCTTATAATTATTAATAAATTATTATTATTATTTTATTATTATTATTATAACTAATGTACAACACCATACATGAGAAGTGTGACCAAGAAGCAGTATTGTACGCGTCAGTATTACACCAAGTCCTGGAAAGATGGTTAAGAGAGATAAGAAACACCCTGACCATATTGAACAACCGCCTCACACCTGCAGTTATGACCCTTCAACATATTGTCCCCAGTGAGCTAAAGAACACTTTTTTTACATAAGTTCATATTGTACAGGAATGAGTTTTTATTGTGACACCTTTTCCACACTACTCGGCTGGGACGGAACAGTCATGGTGTGGGAGCCGCTCAGGACACGCTACTGACGGAGGGGTCGTGTGTGTCTCCTGTCTTCGTGTCCTCTTCAGTCGTCTTCACTCTCCTGTGTCTGGGTGGTCTCCGGGGGTCCAGTAGTCCCGGAAACCTGATCTTGGGCTTCTTGTTCACCTTGGTGGTC